ACAGAGACACAGAGACGCACGGAGACAACAGAGAGACACACACACACACACACACGCAGAAAGACATAAACCGCAGAGACACACAGATACACTCAGGAGACACACAGAGACACACAGAGACACAGAGACGCACGGAGACGAACAGAGAGACACACACACACACACGCAGAAAGACAGAGACACGCAGAGACACACAGAGACACTCAGAGACACACAGAGACACACAGAGACACAGAGACGCACGGAGACGAACAGAGAGACACACACACACACACACGCAGAAAGACAGAGACACGCAGAGACACACAGAGACACGCAGAGACACACAGAGACAGAGACACACAGAGACACACAGAGACACACAGAGACACACAGAGACACAGACAAGAGACACACAGAGACACACAGAGACACACAGAGACACACAGAGACACACAGAGACACACAGAGACACAGAGACGCACGGAGACGAACAGAGAGACACACACACACACACACACACGCAGAAAGACAGAGACACGCAGAGACACACAGAGACACGCAGAGACACACAGAGACACGCAGAGACACAGAGAGACACAGAGACAGAGACACACACAGAAAGACAGAGACGCGCAGAGACACACAGAGAGACGCAGAGACACAAAGACAGGCAGAGACACGCGGAGACACACAGAGACACACAGAGACACAAAGACAAGCAGAGACCACACACACACAGAAGGACAGAGACACACAGAGACACACAGAGACAAACGGAGACACACCCACACACACAGAAACACAGAGACACACAGAGACACGCAGAGACACAAAGACAGGCAGAGACACACAGACGCACACACAAACACACAGAGACACAGAGACACAGAGACACACAGAGACACACGGAGAGACACAGAGACGCGGAGACGAGACAGAATTGGCGGGGACTCGGGGTCTATTGAGGCGTTGATCCAATTTCATCTGAGTCGTGAGCAGAATGGATTTGTCTCAAATTCGGCGACCACATTTTTTTTGGTGCAGGAGGTGCTACGGGACACCCGGAAAGTGCAGAGCTCATGGGAAAACACACATTGTTGGCTTTGCAAAGTACCCAACCCTTTGTGGCTGCCCTGCGGCCATTTTTACATCCAATGCAAGGGTTCCGTTTTGACTCACGCAGGCCAAGCAGCGCGGCTGGATGATAGCGTGGCGATGATCCGCAGGCGCTGGTTCGACCCAAAAGAGACCCGCATGATAGCTGCATGTCAGACTTGTTTCATTTTCCAAGATTCTAAGTGAATGACAGACCGACCTCACAAGCTGGCGCACCCGTGTTGTTGCTCCGGCGGTGGGGGGGAGGGGGGGTGGGGATGTTGCATGCATTTCTGTATGAAAGTGGAATACAGTTTCTATGCATTTGGCAAACCAAACGGAAATGAATGGGAACCAAAGGCAAACCAAAGTCAACCAGAGGGAAACTAAAGGGAAATCAATGGGAAACCATTGGAAAACCAAAGGCAAAGAGGAAATCAATGGGAACTAAAAGGGAATCCAAAGTCAACCATAGGGACACCAAAAAGAACTAAAGTCAGACCAAAGGGAAAAATGCGTATCGCGCCTATAGATTGACCTCACCCCCTCGGTAGGCTGGGCACTGCCGGCTATGTGGCGCCCGAGGTACTCAACACCAGCCCCCCGGCCGCCGGCCCCGCTGAGATCCGGTTTCGTCCCTCCGAAATGGCGTCGTTTCAAGCAGGGCTCCTTAAAAGAAATTCATGTCGCAGCCACTTGAACATGTTGCTTTTTCAACACCCAAATAAAGAAATGGACACCACCATTTAGAAGTTGCAATGCTCAGGTGTATTTCATGTAAGGGTTCCTGTTTCGCGTTCTTGCTTTGGGGGTTGATGTCATAGGGGGCCGAACCAAGTTCCCTTGGTTCCTTATTCCAGGGGCCCATCCAAATTAAATACGGTGCATGGTGCGTGCGCAGTAGGGACGTTTGCAAGGGTGTCCCGAATGAGGAAGCCATGGATATGGCAGCCTGAGCCGCTTGGCTGCCTGCTGTCTTTGGCGAGGGTCTGCAACTGCTGGGGTTTATCCAGAACTTGGGGGTTTTATCCTTCCCCTCCAATACATCCAGCGGTGAGAAGTTGCATGCTCACAAGCCTGAGCGTCGGGTATGCGCGTCGAACCTTTCCCCCCCGGCTTGGGGGGACCATGTCCCTAAAATGGTTGGCAGCCTTTAACCAACTAAAAAGGGGTCTACCAGGGTCTACCTCTAACATCTTGAGAAGCTCCGGCATGGACAAGAGCGACACACAAGCTTCTTGTTCTGAGGTTCCGCAGGTACTTTTTTGCATGTCTCACTTGAATGCCAAAAGCGTCCGACCACCCCGATGTGCCATGGTCATTTTGAGCCTTTCGGGTTGGTGACGGCCACGGATCCGTCAGGATTTCTGTCCGACTTCCATTGCGAGCCTCGGTTGACAGGGCACGCAAGCAAATCCACAGCGCAGAGACCCAAATGCAAGGAGTCAGCTCAGCTCTCCAAGGACCAAATGCAACCGCTGCAACCATTGACTCACCACGAAAGACTTTTTCTCAAATGCCATCGAAGGATTGCACAAAGATCTTTTTGACGAGGTAACCCGATGGCAAGCATGCCGTTTCGTAAGCGGGCAATGAAACACATCGATTTGGAGACAATTTGTTTGTTGCCTTTAGACATATTGTGACCTACTGTGGATGTACGAAATCCCGCACCAAATTGAAGCCAAGGAAAGCCATGGTGTGTTGGCCTTAGGGGAATCATTCATAGGCGGTGCTAAAATGGTTTTCGCGGGTCAGTATGGCATCTTCCGCTTTGTTTTGGTTTGCGCGAGAAGGCAACGGTTTTATGCGTATTGCCTTCGCTTGACCAGGTCAGATACTGCGTGGTTGAGAGCAAGTCCGCTGGAACTTTCCCTCAGAATGTTCGGAGCTCGTTTCGCGGTTTCGCATAGGTGACGTGTTCAGTGCGGGGGCGGTGTGCTTCTTTGTCTACAGCGGCCTGGAGGCCTTCAGAGACGTGAACCATAGCCCGGGGCCCAAGTAAATCGCGGAATCCAGTTAAGGCAATGATGTTCCTACGTCGGTGCTTTTTTTTGCACGTTTCAAAGAACAACTTTTGCGAAGGGAGTGGGAACATGCCAATGTGGACATTTCATAAACTGCCACGATTCATGAAAGGCTTTTGGCGATTTCTTTGCAGACCCCCTAAAGCACTGGATGAGTTAAGAATCGAAGGTCAACACTCAATCTACTACTCGCAAAACTGTTGCCTGGCGACCGATTTCCCCATACTGAAGACAAAAGCAACTGGTTCGTCTCAAAATGGGGAACCCCGAATCCCCCCCCCCCCCCTTCGGTTTCCCTTTCATTTCCCTTCAACAGCTATCCCAACATGGGGTATCCTCAATAGCTCGGGTTTGGTGCATTCGTGTGGGTGCTGAGGCGCCACCATCCAGCGCACTTTGGCCGGCAAGGCGCGCTTCTCGCACCCCAAGGCGAAGCAGGCGCCTTGGACTTGATGGCGCGTGGACAGACACTTATGTCCGGCTTGCGAATCAGCTCATCAGACCCAAGAGATCAGCGGCTGCACCTCTGTTTCATGGGCTTGCAGCCAACATGGAGGGCGTCAATAAACAAAGAACAGTCAAGACACCAATTTGGATGTTCCCAATGGCTTGGCTATATTGTGGTTTGCTTTGGACACCCAGAACGCCCATTTCCGACAGGACACTTGGCCATATTTGGGGAGGGTTCTCACAGGAAACCGCACAGGGATTTGCTCAGAATTGGGAGCTTGGATTCGCGTGGGGTGGCGCTCACCCCTGGTTTTGGTTGTGAAGGACACCCCCCGTTTTCACCATAGATTACTAACCCCCCCCCCCCCCCCCCCGCACGCTAGCAACACTCCTTGGGAGAGGCTTGAATCACGCGCATTGCATTTGCAAGCGAAGCGTTTCGATCAGTAAATGCCAATTGCGACAGCATACGAGACAGGCTAGCCTGAAGCTCGTTCCTTTGCTAAATGACTCGGGAAAATTGCTCCCCTAAAGTTTGGCCCTAAAGCTCGTCTCTTTGCTATTCTCTTTGCCAAATGCTCCCCTACGACTCAAGCCCTCGCCAGTTTTCCTGGGTTTGTCCAAAAATCCGCAGAAAACAGCCCCAGGAAGCCAAGACACTGAAACAACTCGAGTTTTACGGAACCCCCCCCCTTTCAAATAGGTTACTAATAGCAGCCTATTAGTCAGCTATTAAGGCCCCAATAGACTTACAGACCCCCCCGGTTTCAAATAGCTTGCTAAAAGGTTGCTAATAGCAGTGACTAGCTACCTCGACCCCGCGAGCAATGCAATTCAGCCAGACTCCGCCAGACTCGGACGCTTTGATACCTTTTCTCCCACTCCGCATGTTTGCCGCCCAGTTTGAGCAGCTGATTGAACCACTCAGACTGTGCCCAGTGGACTTGTACATTGCTGAAATCTTCGGGGATGAATATTGTTGGCGGCTATCCGACGATTTCAGTACCAGCCATCGCGGCATTGCAACAACCTGCCGCCTGTAAAGACTTCGAGCGTTTGAAGCAGCGTGACAACCCCGCACAATCCTGGAGGAAAATATGGCTGCTAATAGCTACCTAATAGCAGCTATTTGTACGCTAAAGCCGGGAAGCTATTAGCAGCTATTAGTAAGCTATTAGTAAGCCATTAGGAAGCTATTAGTAAGCTATTGGCGCACAGCCCTGCAAAGACCTCTTAGATGAATTGGGGGGGGGGGTATAAGGGGGGAGGGGTTTTGTAATCTATGGTTTCATGGGGCGATTCTCACCCCACGTCCGTGACGTCTGCCACGTCGCCACGTCCTTGGTTTGACCAGAGTAGCCTGAGTTTCCTTGGTGGCTCCCAGCCATCCCCTTAGCTTTTTAGCCTTCTAGCGGTTAGTGGTAGTTTCCATTTAACCCACTAAAAGTTCGCGGATCTGAGGGCCCAGTTCCCGTGAGGTGCGCACGGGCACGCTGCACCTGCTGAAGAAGATGCTGGCAGCCAGCCCGAAGAAGCGGCCCCGGGCAGCCAAGGCCTGCAAGGCGCGATTCGAATCGCCTGGAGCCAGTTGGCTCGTCTTGGAGTTGGAATTTCCCTGAAATTCAGGGAGAGGGAGGTCAACGGTATTCACTGCACCCAATTCCGGGAGAGAGAAGGGTTTAGGGCAGTACTTCTTGCCTGCGTTGTTTGAGGGGAAACCAACAGGAAGAAAAGACCCTGTCATGTTGAAAGTGCCCTCATTTAAAGACACACACGCACACACACACACACACACATCATGAAAGAGTGGTAAGAAAGATTGGTGAGACACCAAGAAAGAGTGGTAAGACGTGTGGGGCAAGTCAGGGTGTGAAAAAGGGGAAACCATGGAGTGGGGGGCATTCATTGGGTCTGGGGTCTTGGGGTTTTCTGGGTTCCCAATTGGCGATCCCCACGAGGACTGCGCCTAACATCCAGCAATAGCGGTTTCCGGCGGGCAAGCGGTCTAATTCTAGCTTTGAGAAACCGCGAGCCATGGCATTGAACTAGAATGGGTGCCCTTTTCACCTTGGTTTAAAGGCAAGCCAAAAGGGAAGCCACCATTGTTGAGGTCCCTATCCTAGTCAGGCTTCTTGTGCTAAAATGGCACTTCATTCAAGAGTTCATCAGCCTCCCACAACGTTCTCTCCTTGAGTTGCTGGAACTTCAGTGTGAGGGAAGCCAGGTGTAGGCCGAATTCTGTTCCCTCTCAGAACTCGAGTTCCATCCTCAAGCTGCCTTCCGGGAGGAACAAGGAGCTCACGCATGACCTCTCCCCCGCCAAAGAACCTTTCGCGACGGTGCGGTGTGGCTGGTGTGCCAAAGAGCCAAAAACTCTGGGAGTTCTTGTAAGCCCAGCCATTCGTCCGCCGGCGTCTGGCGATTAGGCGCTTTGGAACCTGGGAACTGAGGAGGCCGGGCGCGGGGAGGGGGGGGGGGGAATGGTTGAATAGGATGGGAGGTGTTTGTTGGCCTTGGTTCCGCACCTTTTGAAAGGCTGGGTGCCAGTTTTCCTGCAAACTGCCCTGAGGACAGGGGGGGGGTCAGGTGGGGAAACAAGTCGCTTTTTCGGTGATTGACAGCTGCGACAAGCGCTAAGACGTTTTGGTGCTCCAGGAATTGTTTTCCGTCCGTGGGCAAATTCTCACTTCACCAAGTCGCTAGGTGGATTGCGCAAGGCGTTGGGGGTTGTTTGCGTTTCTCATGATGCCTTGTCTGGAGGTGGTGTTTGAGGAAAACCAAGGCCGGGGGGGGGGGGGTGGCGGGAATTGCAAGAGACCTTCTTTTGCAAAAGCAGCGGTGCGTCAGGTCAAAGAAAGCCCAATGGCTTACAAGGCATCGGATGGGTTGCCGGACGTTGGGCTGCCGGAAGGAGGCGTTGGCACCGTTTCGCCTAAAGTGACGCAGGAAACCGGGGGGATTGTGTCCAGACCTTCAACAAACGGCGGCTTCGCGCTCGGGTGGCTGTAAATGGGAAAAATGGGAACATGGGCGGGGGTAACATGGAGGTTCTCGAGAACATGGGACCCTTCTTGCGAAATAATTGCCCACAATGCCCCCGGTTTTGGTGTGCCGTTGATTCCGGACCAGTGTTGAACCCATTCTGATTTGTCCGACACATGGGAGCTGGATGAGTCCCTTTTTTTCAAGCCTTTATCACCCTCCTCCCCATGAACTTGGCACCTGCCAGGGACCCGGTCGCTTCAGGAAATGCATCTTCCAGGTGCCCCATGGCAACGTGGGAGGACAACACACCTTGAGCGAATTTTGCCAAGGGATGTTGGGACTTAACTTCTTTTCCCCACTAAAGGAATGAGCTTTCCGTATTAAACCACTATTAAACCACTAAGAGTTCGTCAACTTTTCGGGCTTCGAAATGGCAGTGATTCGCGCGGAAAATGCGGCAGCTCTCAAAGCCCCTTCCCCCGCAGCCCGTACGCTGGGGACCCGCATCAACATGCATATGGAACACACACTCCGTGTATGATATTTAAAATGTATGTAATCCGCGAAGACTGAGACCTAGTCACGAGAAATGCAGGGGCGGATGCCTGCAAATTCCGAATAATTTCCAGTACTGTCCTCCTTAAATATGAAGGTCTTGGGTCTCCAGCGTACGGGCTGCGGGGGAAGGGGCTTTGAGAGCTGCCGCATTTTCCGCGCGAATCACTGCCATTTCGAAGCCCGAAAAGTTGACGAACTTTTAGTGGTTTAATACGGAAAGCCCATTCCATTAGTGGGGAAAAGAAGTTAAGTCCCAACATCCCTTGGCAAAATTCGCTCAAGGTGTGTTGTCCTCCCACGTTGCCATGGGGCACCCGGAAGATGCATTTCCTGAAGCGACCGGGCCCCTGGCAGGTGCCAAGTTCGTGGTTTCGGCCGCCCGGCGATTTTCCCCTCTGAGACTTCTAAGCGAGTTTGCGGGAGGCCTTCTGCAGCCTGCCGCTGGTGGAGGAGAAGTCCGAGACCGCCAGCCTTTCGCGCTAAGGGCCAGGGAGCGCGGGAGTTGGGGCCCTACAGGGCCCCTTTGCAGTACCCTGTAGGGCAGTTTGTTTTTTTTTGTGGGGGGGGGGGGGCTTTTTTGCAGTGGCTTGCCCTGTAAAAAACTATGGATTAGGAGCAGGGATTTGGATTTGGGGCTTTTTGCAGTGGCTCGCTCTGTAGAGGACTGTGGGGATTCTGGAACTATGCAACTATGCATTGGCCAAGCCTCGATTTTGAAGAGCCCAGCTAGGAATGGGATGTGCCAGAACCCTTCTCGCGCTTTTCTTTTTGCGAGAGAGATGTAGGTTCGGCTTGGGTTGCGAGGTTGGAGAGCGGGCCGAGGTCGTTTTTTTCCTTCTTTTTTTTTTAATCCCAATGTTCGGGATACTTGTTTCCCACCTTGGAATTTGGGTCGTGCAGGGCACAGGGAAGATTGTCGCGATGTCTCAAATAGTCACGCCTCAGGGGCAGACCACTCTCTCTCTCTCTCTCTCTCGCTCTCTCTCTCTCTCTCTCTCTTCTCTCTCTCTCTCTCTCTCTCTCTCTCTCTCTCTCTCTCTCTCTCTCTCTCTCTCTCTCTCTCTCTCTCTCTCTTCTCTCTTCTCTCTTTTCTCTTTTCTCTTTCTCCTTGCGTACGTGCGAGCGTGCGACAGCTGAGGCTTTGCGCGGTTACAGCCAGTTGCGGACCCTTGGCTTGCACTTGAGAGGGGGTCAATCTGGCGTTCGAATGTCCAGATTGGCGTGCGCACTGCTTGTGGCAATGGATAAAATTTGACTGGATTGACGTTGCTTCCTCCATGACAGGGAATGTCCGTCTCTGTCTTGCTGGTTCAGATGCACTGGTTTTGGCTGCAAGGGGGGTTGGGCATCATGAGGATTTCAGTTTTTCATGGTGCTCTCCATGGAGACATGACCTAAACGACTCGCTCGCAGCCCATGAACGTTCCCATGCGTGCATACATTCAATCCGCCACTTCTCTCACGGTTTTCCTCTGAATTGAAAACCATGGGTCAGAACACCAGCTGTTTTCTTCAAAGGAAAACATCGAAAGGGGCTCCAGTCAGGAGTTCCAGGAGGAGGAGGAAGAGGGGAGCGAGATGGAGATGGGCTTCTCCCCCACCAGACAGGCGAATCGCGGCCTTCACTCGGGGGTGTAACTGAAATTGGGGCCCCAGGAGCGATTTTCTCCGCCGTGCCCTTGTTCCTTGAGACTTGAACAGGCCCAAGTTAGATAAGCAGTGGATTTCAAAGATCTCTGGCCCACAGCCGCGAGAGTTTGCGGAACCACACCCAAGATGCAAGATTAAAAAGGCGAAGTAAGCGCTATATCAAGAACCAGCCGGGGAAAACGACGCAAGAGCGATAAAAGGATTTACAGGGCTCCCATCACCAAAATATCGGTAAATCCAGCAAGGGGATCAGCAGGTAAAAGGTTCGAAGGCTCCAAAAAAGGTTGCGCTCCAGAAAAGAAATTTAAGAATCATGTCCTTTTCCGAACTGTCCAACAACCCAAACATTAAAAATAATAATAAAAACATCAAACATCCTCTCAATTCTACAAGCAAGCCAAGAGCTAAAGAGTTTCATCGAGATTCTTACCAAATTTTCCAGTGATGCTTTCTGGAGCTCAGTGCTTGCCTCAAAGAAAAGGGGACCGCTTCGGGGAGTAAAACGAGCTCACCATTTGGGGATCCCTTATGCCCTGTTCACTGCGAATGTTGCAGATCAAAAGCGACGTCTTTGAAGATCACGCTCGCAGATTTCTCCTTGTGATTCCCAGGTGCTTTCGACCACCCGGAGCATCCCTGTTCACTGCTTTCCCAAAAGGCAGAAGCCGGGCATAGTGATTTCGATTCGAAGGGGTCCTGGGATACCACCCTTGAATAAGTGTCCAGATTTGATCGGATTGCGCCGATGCGTCGAAGTGCCGCGAGGGGAGCGGTCCCTGCCCGAGCCCCTCTGTTCTGCAGAGGGGCTCGCAGTCGATGACTGCGTCAAGCGTCGGTGGAGTCTTAGGCGCGATCGTCGGTTCTCGGGGAGAGAGAGGGTCCAGGGACTTGGGGGAGGCTTTTTCTGCGACTGGACAAAACAGAGCTCCAGGCTTCCCTCGAATCGAGGCCTAGGTTCAAGCCGCCGCCCTGGCCTTTGCCATCCCAAAACAAACAGCAGCTGCTTTTTGGAAGGTCTCGTCCTTGAGGGTTGACCCAAGTTTTCGGGGTAAAAGGTAAACCGTGAGTTGTGCTCCTTTCACTGACCAGGTTTGGCTCGAGAGGACGGAGGTCCCTCCCCCTTTCTCTAAGCCGGGCTGTGGCAGGTGTTGGCTCGATCGAGACCAGTCAGGCACTGTGGGAGGGGAGACATCGGCAAGCAGCCTTTAAAAGCTTGCTTTCGGACAGAAGAACTTTGCTTCTCCGGGTCATTCTGGACCTTCTCATCTTGGACAGAAGCCGCACTGCCCGAAATTCATCGCGCATCTCCATGTTTGCCTGGCGGAGGTCCCTTTCTCTGTTGCCCAGTGGTGCCCTTTTTGTCTTTTATTCGGTTCAGGGTTGCCCTTGAAACTTCCCCATGAAAAAAAGGGGTGCCCTTTGTTTGCCATGGGCATCTGAGCTTTGAACACCACCCTCCAACCAAAAAAATGCGACAACCACCGCGCCATCTCGGGCTTCTGGCTTCACCAGGTCCCGAAGCCGCCGGCGCGGTCCAGCAGCTTCTTCACGCGCTTCAAGCGCATCGTGACCCGCTGAGGGCGAAAACCCGAGGGGGTCTGGCGAGGACGGCCCTGGCGCTTACCCCGGCGCCTGCGGTTCTGACTCCATTTGGGTGTGGCTCAAATTCAACGATCGGAGGGGTTAAGCAGGTTTTGGTCCATGTTTCCACTTACCAGGGTTCCTTTTTGGTACCGGTTTTTTGAGCCACAGCCATTTCCGAATTTCCCTTATTTCAGATGTCTAGACATCACCTGTCACTGTGCGAATCTGCTTTGAAAAGACATCAGGATTGAGGAGGTGATGTCGTTCACAGCGAAATAGGGAGCATGCTGGGGCGTGTCTTGTAAATGGGATGTGGCTCAAAACTCGGGATCGCATACGTCTCGGTGTTCTTGTTTGTTCTTCAGCTCTTCGGAGATCTTTTCTCTACCTTTGAGCCACCCAACTACAGACGGTCAACTGGCTAAAAGCTGTCCTGTGAATCCCCACAAATTTCCGAGCAAATTGTGCGACAAAGCTCGGCGAACCCCAGTCAGCTACTTGATGTGAGCTCTCGAGAGGCAAGGTGCGAAGGGGAACATCTTTTGACGATCAGAGAATTGGTTGAGAGAGCCGCTTTCTTTTTTTTTGTGCGTGGGGGGTGGGGGTGGGGATATCATGAGGGATGTGCAACTGACCTGGATGCATAGTTGCTGACTGGTAGCACTGGCTTTGATTTGAGTGTTTGAAATCCAGCGGCTGGTGCGGAGCCTACCCTCAAAGATTCTTCAACCCACGCCCAGTTGGAATGCAATCTGGTGGCGAGCGGCATTGCCTGAACACGCGTCATGATGCAAAGGATGCGCAGCACCCACCGCTGGCATGCGCAAGCCCCTTGCGGCATGCGCAAAGGGCTTTGTCTTGAGCGAAGTATTGGTTTTAATGCTCGCCTGATCACTTCAATTTTTTGTACTGTCCCCAATGCATCATACATTTGGGCTGGACCAAGGCCGCCTTTGAAATCTTCACTGCAGCTCTGAGAGCATGCATGTACCCATTTGCACGGCCTTTCATTTATCCACAAATATATATTAAATTCATTTATCAAATTATTGTTAGATAATATATATATATATATATATTCTCCTATAAACCGGTATGGCCTCGAGGTCGCATTTCCCGTGCACCGGCTAGCCGTTGCAGCGGTATTCCGGCCGTATCGTAGTGCTTGCGGCGACCGGCTATGCTTGTTCCGGTCTTTTCTCCGCGGCACAAGCTCCGCCTCTTCGCGCGGCCCGGAAGGCGCCGAAATTTTGCTGAAATTTCGGAGGTTCTTAATAGCTTTGCTTAGAGTTCTCGCGGCGTAACCCGGCCAGAGTTTCCCGAATTTTGGGTCGCTTCCGGCGACGTGACGCTTAGGTTTCCGGACGTTACCCCCGCAAATTTCTTCAGAATTTGGCAGTTTTCCGAAAAAATGCCGGGCTAAATTTCGAGGAAATTTGGGGCCTGTCCGAGTCGAAATTTCTTGAAAATTTCGTGTCGGGCGTCTCTGTATCTTTGCCTCTCTCTGTGTCCCCCAATCTGTTTCCGTGTGTCCGTATTTACCTGTTTCGTAATATCTGTTTTTCTCCGTCTATCTTTGTGCATCTCTTTGTATCCCAATCTGTTTCTTTTTGATGTTTGTGCCTCTCTGTCTCTATCTGTCTGTTTGTGTCTCTCTGTCTCTCGTGTTGTTTCGGTTTGTCTGTGTTTGTCTCTATGTGTCCGCGTTTGTTGTTCGTCTTTAGTTCTTTGTGTCTTTTTGTGTTGCTCTGTCTATTTTCGCGTGTCCGCGTTTGTCTATTTGGTAATGTGGCAGCGAATTTTTTTGAGGGGTCTGTAACAAAGCCGCGGCGGACATCGTTACAGACCTCGTTACAGACCTCTGTAACAAGACCAGCTGGCTCGTTACACACCCCGCGTTACACACCCCTCGTCGCCGCAGCTTGGCTTGCGTTGAGTAGCTGCAATCAAGCTGGAGCTGCGGAGGCGCGCTTTGCAAACTGTGCTTTGCTTTGCCTCGTTGTCGACCTCGTTGCATAGCCGTTACATACTTCGTTGCAGAGCCAACCCTAGCCCGGGCCAACGACCCCCCTTTTTGCCGCAGCTTGACTTGCGTTGAACAGCTGCAAGTAAGCTGGTGCTGCGGAGGCGCGCTTTGCGTACTGCGCTTCGCTTTGCCTCGTTACAGACCTCGTTACGTAGCCATTACATACCTCGTTCCAGACCCAACCCCAGCCGGGGCCAGCAACCCTGCTTTTCGCCGCAGCTTGGCTTGCGTTGAGTAGCTGCAATTAAGCTGGAGCTGCGGAGGCGCGCTTTGCGTCCTGCGCTTTGCTTTGCCCCGTTATAGACCTCGTTACATAGCCGTTGCACACCTCGTTCCAGACCCAGCCCCAGCCAGGGCCAGCAACCCTGCTTTTTGCCGCAGCTTGGCTTGCGTTGAGTAGCTGCAATCAAGCTGGAGCTGCGGAGGCGCGCTTTGCGTCTTGCGCCTTGCTTTGCCTCGTTATAGACCTCGTTACATAGCCGTTGCACACATAGCCGTTGCACACCTCGTTCCAGACCCAACCCCAGCCAGACCCAGCAACCCTGCTTTTCGCCGCAGCTTGGCTTGCGTTGAGTAGCTGCAATCAAGCTGGAGCTACGGAGGCGCGCTTTGCGTCCCTCGCCTAGCTTTGCCTCGTTACAGACCTCGTTACATAGCCATTACATACCTCGTTGTGTTGCACCACACTGTGCTACTGATACAGCTTGTCAGGAAATGTTTGTCCGTCACAGACCTGCGTAACAAGGACCTCAGTTACAGACCTCCGTAACAAGATTCGTGGCGCGTCGCGCGTTACAGACCCCTAAAAAGATTCATAGCCATGTCTGTCTATATCTGTTTTTGTCTTTATTTTTCTGTCTGTCTGCGCTTGTTTTTGCGGGTCGGTTTATAAAGATGGCACACTTCCGCGTTGTCGCGTGCCGCATCTCCCTTTCAAGCTCTGCTTGCTTCTTCCTTTCATTTGTCTTTCTTTTCGTTTCTGATTTTTCTATTTTTGATTATTTCTACTATTGTTTTTGCTTGCTTGCTTGCTTGCTTGCTTGCTTGCTTGCTTGCTTGCTTGCTTGCTTGCTTGCTTACCTGCCTCCTTTTCTCTCTCTCTCTTTCTCTCTCTCTCTCTCTCTCTCTCTCTCTCTCTTTTTCTCTTTCTTTCTCTTTCTTTTTCTCTCTCTTTTTCTCTCTCTCTCTCTCTCTCTTTCTCTCTCTCTCTCTCTCTCTCTCTCTCTCTCTCTCTCTCTCTCTCTTTCTCTCTATCTATTGTGTTTTTTCTTCTTTTTTTCTCTTTTTGTTTCTTTCATTTTGTTTCTTTTTCTTCTTCGTTTTTTTGGTGTTTTTGTTTCTTTGTTTTTTGCTTTTTCTCTCTCTTTTTCTCTTTTTTTCTCTTTCTGTTTTTCGTTCTCTCTCTTTCTCTCTCTTTCTCTTTCTTTCCGTCTTTTTCTCTTTCTCTCTCTCTCTCTCTCTCTCTCTCTCTCTCTCTCTCTCTCTTTTTCGTTAAAATCGGTTGTTACTTTGCTTACAAGTGCAAGTGCTGTAGTGTTCAAACAAACAGTCAACCAATGTAGTCTGCAGCTGCCAACCTTTTGACTCATGCGGAGTAGTAAGCTCAAGGCCTGCGGTAGTGAACATACATGCAACAAGAGTGCAAAGTGAAGCATGTAGTTTGACACGGCCCCTCAGTGAAAAGGTCTTTGTAGTACCTTTTTAACTGAAGTGCAAAACATGGATTGACAGTAGTGATGAAAACCATTGTTGTTCATCAATTCTACTGTATTGGCAAAAGTAGTGACCTGCGCTCAGTAGTTCACGCTGTTCAGGTTCCAGCTCGATGTAGGGCGCTGGACGGAAGTAGTGAAGGCAGGCACTCGTTGTAGTAGAGCAGGAGCTCAAAAATGTAGTCCCCATTTCTGGGTGCGGTAGGCTTGGACCATCTGTAGTCGACTGTCCAAGGTCGCGTAGTAGTTGGTGGTGAAAAAGGTTGTCATGTAGTTTGGAGCTCCCCGTAGTCGCTCATCATCAATCTCGGGACACGACATGTGTTGGTCGTAGTCCCGTAGAAAGCGGTGTAGTAGTGCTTTGTGGTGTTGTGTGAGGTTGGTCATTGTGAGTAGTGTGAATCCGTAGTATTGGATGCTTTTGCAGAGGATTGTAGTGATTGCTTTGTGTTGGAAGTCGTGGAGTTGGTCTCGGTTGTAGAGGTAATGGAGTAGTTCAGGTAGTAGTAGTGGCATGTGGTAATTCCAAACGTAGTTGTTCCTGAGGCTGTAGTTGTCAGTGAAGGTGGTCATGTTGTAGTTCACCTTGAAGATGGTCTGTGGCAGTGTTGTAGTCGGGAGGTAGTAGTTGTGTTGTACCGACATCATGTAGGAGATGTAGTCCCTTGTGAAGTGTAGAAATTGTCCTGAAGTGAGGTACCTCAGGAGTAGTGGTTGTTCAATCTGGAGTTGGATGATGACGTAGTTGGTGTTGTCGCCAGTTGTAGTGTGGAGTGAAGTCGTGTGGTAGTAGTGGACGTTGGCTGCTTCAGGTAGTGAAATGCTGAGCAGTGTGGAATTGTAGTGTGGCATCCGAAGATCTCCAGGGATGCAGTGAATGGGTCGTGTGTAGTCCAGTTGTGCCAGTGGAGTAGCTTGTTGTTGTGAGAGTAGTTGATACTCTTCAAGTGTAAATGCAGTGAAAAATTGAGTGTAGGGAATGTTGTCGGGCAGTGGTGGTGCAGTGGTTGTCTGGTGCTCAGTGATGTGTAGTTGGTCCATCACTGTGGTCGGGTTGTAGTAGACGGTGTTGCCGGGTGTAGAATGGTTGAAGTGGTAGTTGGAGTCGTTGTAGGTTTGAGGTGGTGGAGTTCCATGGTCACTGGAGTCTGTAGTGACCGCCACCTCAGGTGTAGTCGCCCTGTCGGGCGTAGTGGCGTCTCCCATCGTAGCATCTGCAGTAGATGGAGCGGCCATGGCTGCAGTGGAATGCAAAATGTAGTGAAACGGGGCAAAACAAATGAGCCTAAGTAGTTGCTACCAGGCAGTCGGCGAATGCAGACATGTAAAACAAACAA